GCGACGACTGAGTGATGTTACGAGGTCGTCCCCGACAGTTCGTGTAGTACGAGGCTTCGCCAGCACCGTCCTGAACCAGTTCACGTTGTGCACGTGAAGCATTATGAAAAGTAGTGACTGCGCAAGACACTTCTTAAAAAACAAAAAAACTGCACTACTGGCTTAGCATTGGGGCGATGCTCACCAAGAGGGGTCAAATGACGCATGTGTACTGGTGGATTAAAACGACGATAAGGGGATTCGGCGGACACCAGGTAGTGGAGGTCTGGCTGATCGGAGATAAAGAAGGTGATCTTGCTGTTCGGCTGCTGAGAGTCACTGTGTCAACGTTTATCTGCCTTTGGTTCGCGCTGTACAGAGCGACAAGAAAGAGAAAGAGAGATAAAGATGCAAGGAAAGGCAGGGAGGTTAACCAGACGCACATCCGGTTTGCTATCCTGCACTGGGGAAGGGATAAAGGGGAGAAAAGAGGTTGCAGAGAGATGAGAAGGTACACACAATCACGAGCACACTGGGGGAGCACGCACAGTCTACAGGCGGTCGCTCAGGTTTGTTGACTTTAGGTAAATTAGCAGTGCTTTAGTTGCCTTCTGCGCAACTGAGGCAGATGCCCAGGGTCCTAGTATCTTCTGCACACAAAATGGTCCGGGGTCAAGTTGATTCAAAACGATCCGGAGCTGGCATCGCTGTGTGTCGTAGCAAGCGCAGCTGCACAGGACGTGTTCGATGGTCTCTTCAGCTCCGCAGTAGTCGCATGTAGGAGTGTCTGCCATACCAATGCGAAAGTAGTACACCTTTGTAAATGCAACACCCAACCAAAGGCGGCATAACAGTGTCGCATCGGAGCGGGAAAGTTGTGATGGTAGCTTTAGCTTGAGCGAAGGATCCAGTTCATAAAATTGACGCCTTTGGAAGCTGGTAGACGACCAGAACGTGCGTGTGAGATCTCGAGCCAGCAGGTAAAGTTGTCTTGCTGCATCATTCCTTGATAGAGGAATCGGGACTACACGGGTTCCTTCATGGGCTGAGCGGGCTGCATCATCGGCTAATTGATTTCCGGTAATACCGATATGTCCAGGCAGCCATAGATATATAATATCATGCCCTCGTGCTAGAGCTTCATGATGGCAATGTCTTATTCCTTGTACCAATTGGTCATGACTCCTCCTACGCATGGCAGACTGCAAACTCTGAAGCGCTGCCTTCGAATCACAAAATATGACCCATTTTCCTGGACGTTCTTGAACGAGATATTGTAAAGCAGCCCTTATAGCAGCAAGCTCTGATGCCGTAGATGTAGTCATATGCGACAACTTAAACTTGATTGTCATTGCTGCAGCCGAAATTACAGCGGCACCTGATGAGCTGCTGGACGAGACGGACCCATCAGTGTATATCTGCGTTCGGTCTAAGTACAACTGATGTAATAATTGCAGTGTTGCTTGCTTCAATGCTACTCTGGAGTGATTGCTTTTCTTTTTGATTCCCGGAATTTCTAGACGTACTTGCGGCTGGTCGAGGCACCACAAAGGACATGCCATTCTCGCAGCTCACGTATATCCTGATGGAATGCTGTTTAGGTGCTTGGCTATGACGTCTGAAAACGTAGCGCGTGCGACAATATTCAGCATAAAAGTACCGCCTTCCATCACACATTTCAAGGACTAAACGAGAGGTGGCACTCGCGCACTTCCTTATGGACTGCACTTCGAGTCTAATTCCCACCTTTCACAATCTTTAGTTCATGGCTATATACTAGTTTTCTATATCCATGGCGATACGGCCCAACCCTCGCTAAACCTTGCAAAAACCAAGAAGGTTACGCCCAGCGAGCTTAACGAGTCAACCCTTTCTGGTCAGAGAGTGTTGAAAGTGCCTCCTTCTGACAATAGTTTTCTTAGTAAGCATCAAACTCAAGGCAACTTTGTTGGAGTTTAGTATGGGATTGGACTAGTCGCTAATGCATTATTGAACTTCTCAGCGCAAACACTTCCGACAAGCAACACAAGAGACGAGGACGAGTGCCAGGTCACCAACAGGTTACCAATAGTCGTATGTGTATATTATTTTATCAGAAACAACTGTGTTTTTATTTATGAATAATGTGCGCGGGTTTCCTCCTCAATTTAAAAGGGTGCGCGCGTGTCCCGCTTTAGAGGTGGCTGCGTGCACGCACCCTAACTTAGCAGTGTTCATCACCGTGGCATTGTGTAATCGGAAGGGCTGTCCGGTATACTCACGTATTTTTGCATGGTTACTGAACAAGCTGTTGGAAAGTCACGTCGGGCGTGTCCTCCCGTGCAGATGCTATTGAAGCTAGTCGAAGCGAATGGAATGCACGTTCTCTATATTAAATGCGTATTGGCTATCCGCAGCAGCTTTGTGCACGTAGCCTGTAAGTCATCCTAATGGCAGGCTGTGTCTGCATAGCTGAAGGCGCAATGAAACGCACACAAGTGCGTGCAATAACAGCGTTGGGAGCGCTGACGTCCTTAGTGAAGGATGCAGTCGCACAACCTAGAGTTTTATGCACTGAATGGTACGCTCGAACCCTCCCGTTCGTACCATTAGGTTGGTTTTGCTTCACTGTATTTTCAAGGCACGGGGCGCCTGCTACTTGCCGTCGAATTTGCCCATTTTCGCGGAGCAAAAAAAGTTGCTCCATGGAGTGGATCTTACGACGGAGCTGCTTCAGATCAGCCAATGGCACATACAGGGAGCACTCTCAATCCGCCAGTGGAATAGACTTGCTCCGCATGGAGGGGAATAAATAATTATCGGAAGTGTTCCGAATCTGCCAGTGGATGACACCATGAAACTCTCTATTGACGGTTCACAGAACGTCCTCCTACCTGCACAGATCTTCAAAGGGATTAGCGGCCACTACTTCTCGATGAAGGCACAGATCTGCTAGCATCTTGAACTGCCATCGCGGCTTACGTGTTGGCCAAACAACTGCTCTGTTTTGCTAGCAGCGCGGACTCGCGGCACAAGAAGCTGTCATGTTAGTTACTTTCTCGTCACGTGATACCTCGCTCACTACAGTCTAGGCCGATGGCGACGGTCCACTACAGGCTCACCGCCGGACCGTCGGGCGCTTGCGCTGTGGCGCAACCACCGACTGGCTGAGTTGAGCAGGAGGCAAAATAGGGTCAGCTAAAAGCGCTTTATAACCTATATGGTTCGTTCAACAAATTTGTAAAACAGGAGCACAGCAGAAAGGTAGTAACTATTGTGACCTTTAAGTGCCTAATGACGTAGCTAGACAGGTCGGAAGAAGAAGGTGAGTAACAGCTGCAATTACTATTTGCTGGCGATTATAAGCTTTTTCTGAACTTTTTGTAAGAGTGCAGGAGTTCAGTATGACTTCGGATATGACATTCTTCAGAGTTCGCGTCAATTTGGCAAATTTTTTTCTTACAGAAACTAAAACTTCATTTCCCCCGACAACACCAGCAGCCCCGCAGCCTGCATCTACGCGGGAAACTACGTTAACAGGTAATAAAATTATTCTGCGTGCGTTCAATACTTTTCTTTTTGTCTGTCAAGGTAGCACAAGGGCCAGGCTTCAAGCGCTGCATGGTGAGCATTAAGCTGAAGCATTCAACGCCTAAAATTCTGCTAGCGAATGCTTGCTTTCAGTGGCCCTTACTTGTACTAGGACAGAGTACCTGTAATTGCTATGCATTTCTTAATATTAAGTATTGAAAAACCATGGAGAGATGTTGCGATTATTCTATCGTAGTTTGAAACACGTACATGGCGTTTTCAAAACCACACTTCGTTCTTTAGGAAGGTAACTTCTATACGACTGAGAGACTGTATTTGTTAGTTTACAAATTGTACAATGCTACTAGCCGGACTCTAGCTATATAAGCTGAAAGCAAGAATGGTGATATACCAAAATTTTAAAGCAATTTTGCTATTATTTGCTTTTGAAAAACAGACGTCATCTGTTTCGAATGTAATGACTAACACTTACAAGTGAAACTTTGGCACTCATTCAATTGTGGAGCGTTTGACGTGCCACTTTCATTGTGTCACTCTCCCTTCCACATTTTCTCCAAGCTGCCTAAAAATAGAGGAGCTAATATCTGTAATGAGCAAACGTAATCTAACTTCAGGTGTTTGGGCTGGTGCCCTTTTTCCACACCAGGCATGCTAATTATCTGAAATCAACTGCTGTTGTGACCTAATAGATGATAACTACATGGATGTAGGTCACACATTTATATCGGTCTGCATCATATTTTTGCGATTGATTTCTAATAAAAGATGGTCACTACATGTATGCGAAAAACGGGCTCCTACTTTACGTAGAAAGTATGTTCACATTATGGCCAGTATGTTGCATAGGTTAACAAACAACCGCATTGAGTTATTAACAACGTATTCCTAAGGACTCAAGATAAGAAAGCAACTAAGCACAAAAATAATGAAGAGACGTTCATAAGCATAGCAAAGTGGTACGGCGTCACCGTGTCCTCCTTCAAAGCTACAGTATTGTCCTGTCTTGAGACATCCTCAAGTCACATTGTGCTTGCGCTTCCTAGGTCTCATATTTGAGGCCCACGGGAAGGCTTTATGCTATCCCTCAGTAGAGTATCAAGTGCTCGAAATTGTTAACAACTTTTACTAAACACACAGCGCACTTTTCAATTACCAGTCCCTTGACCGTAACAAGCTGAACCACACCCCAGGATTAGAACACGGCGATTGCCCCTACGGGAAGGTGTTGTAGCAATTGGAACTTTTTGCGTTGCGCCCTCGCCATCGTGAACTCGTTCACGGCATAATTTTTGTCAACATGGCCTCCTAAAGTGTGAGGCCTAGGAGACGGCTTTATGTTATCCTATATTAGAGTACCAAGTACTCTTAATTGTTAACCATCTCTTGTAAACACATAAGCCCATTTGTTTGTCTGTGTAATCAGATAATAACAATAAGCTTATTTTGTACATTAAATCATTACTTCACCAGCTATTCGTTTGTCATTCTAGAAGCGTCTGCCATACCCACAGAAGTTGTTACTCCAGAACCTGTCCCAACTGAAACTTCAGTGCCAGGAGCGAGTGAAAGCCCAGAAACCCCAGCGTCCACTGAGACTGATTCGGAGCTAGTGTGTCATCGTGGTGAGTTCAACTGCAGAGACGAGAGCACTTGTATTCCATCTGCACTGCTCTGTGACGGTGTAAAGGACTGTCCGAATGGATTGGATGAAAAGTGTGGTAAGGACTTTGAAACAATTTTTCGTGACTCGTGCAAATTGACTGTATCGAATCCTTTTTTCTTGTTGCATCAAAATTACTTACGGGCCGTCCATTCTCTAGGATGGTGGCTACATACATACATACATACATACATACATACATACATACATACATACATACATACATACATACATACATACATACATACATACATACTACATACATACATACATACATACATACATACATACATACATACATACATACATATGATGACTTAAGTATAGCCGCTAACGTAGCTTTAACTAACATTGAAAACATAGTATCCTGCAGATAACCACAAACGTTTATTCGTACATATATTTCAGTCTGTGATAAATGAATGGCTACCCGTGGAGCAATAACTGTATCCTGAATTTCATTCGGTGGTTTTTTGTCCATTACTACGCACTTTTGGTTCAACTAGTTGCAGGTACGGCCAAGCAATGCCAAGAAAACGAATTCTTCTGTTCTTCGGGCTCCCCTAGCCATTGCCTGCCGCGGGCTATCCTCTGCGATGGACGCGAAGACTGTGCTGGCGGCTCCGATGAATCTTTATGCCGTGGTAAGTTAGAGCACAATATTTTCACGTCACCCCAGCAATCGCAATGCTGTGTTCTTGTTCGGATTAGCAGCTTACTGTTAGGCACTGTTATTTTGAAATATATAATAATCTTAGAAGCACAGATGCGTCCCCTAGTTTTTAAAACATTGGAAAAGAACTTTGAAGCACAAGAAATTAAGAATTGAAGAGAAGAGTGGACGCAAGCGGGGCTTTTCGTGTGCACTCTTCTCTTCTGTCCTTGTTTTTGGTCCTTCTCTTTTGTTTCTTAAAGAAATATCTAAATCACTGCACAGGACCGCTTGTTGCACGCTTTATATAGGGGGGACTACTTGTATAGAAAAATGAGCAGTTTCCGTAAAAATTCTGCGTCAGCCTCTAGGACAGGCAGGGACTCTTTTTGACAGGACACAGCACGCAAAATTAGATGTTCTGAAGTGCCGCTGAACTACGGTGATGGCCAATATAATACTATTTCACACACGTTAACGATAGTGAATGGTGATTACGATGTTCTAGCGATAATATATGTACTGCGAGGGTTTGTATGAGTTATCACTCCGTTTCAGTTTTGCAAAAGGATACGTGACCCTGCATTCGTAACCGTATTTGCCTACTGCAGTTGGTGTACATGAGATAAAACAATACGCAAAGCAATCATTACAGATACCACCGATGATCGCGGTATACCATTGAAATGAAAGTATATATACATGACCTTCAAATTGTGATCTTCTACGTACGATAGTGATTCCTACAAGACGGCTATCCTCAGAGTTTACTCATGAAAATTGTGTCTGCAAGCGGATGATGCCATTACTTATAGACCAACCAGCCGTGGCGGCTCAGCAGGCTGACGTGTGGGGCTTCTAATATTGTGCAAGTGGCTTCTATTATCCGCTGCTATGGTCGCATTTCGATGTGAGCTAAATGCAATAACGCCCGTATATTTACATTCAAGTTCGAGTAAATAAAAAAACTTTGGCGTCATATTTAACGCGGTGTCTTATAGCCTGCGTCTTTATTACATCCTGGTTTGCGGCCTTAAAACACAAATAATTCTAATTGAATGCTCGCAAACTTGCGACGCCGTGACTGGTATTTCAACATTTCTCCGACATATGCATGCTCAATGTCGCAAAATAGAAAACGTCACCACCATAAAAGGAGGTGCCGCAAGCATGTGCATCTTATTGCTCCAATGCGATTTCAAACTGCAAATTCTTCACCTTTGGCAACGGCAACCTTTTAGGTGCGAAGCAGCTCCTGGCGGAGTTCTATCTCCTGCGCTGCCCACCCTTACTGCGCATGCGCAACAGCTGGCTCAAGCACTGCCAGCATGGGCTCACGCGCTAGGGCATTCCAGCTTGTGTATAGTGAACTAGAATGACTATATTATGCTACAACTTTTTTTTGGCACTGAAGGGAAAACTACGGGGGCGGAGCTTCTGCACATGTAGCACTAGGCAAAGTAGTCTGTTTTGGCGCGCGTCTCTGAACGCTGTGGAAAACGACGGGGTCGTATCATCAGCGTTTCATGTAGACGCAGGCGCCGCTTAGCATTTGCGCTACACGTAAAAAGGCGGCACTCTCTCGCGCGTTCAAAAACGCGAAGTCACTGCGAACAAATTAAAAAAAAATACGAATATTTTACTAGAGTGAGCTGCGCCCTGTCTCAAATAGCTCCAAGTAGAAAATAAAGAAGGAACTTTTGTGTTTCACGGTGAAAATACTGGCGCTGTTGTATAACTGCATTCACTAGTGGTAAGATGCACGTAATTTGGCTTTTTAGCCTTCGCTCCAATGACAAGAAAGGTTGTCGCCAAATAAATAAGCCTGTGTAAAGGGTTCAGTAAGTCGCTGTGACCACTTCCCTTCACACTCTCTCAGCACTCATGTGATGGCCTTTGGGAACAAGGTCCTGCTGACGCACGATGAACGAACGCGTTGTATGATAGTCAGAACGCCCTGGCGCGGTAGGACCGGCGTAAATGACTGCGAAAGAGCCGCGGTGTGCACCACCTGTGCATTGCCTCATGGTCCCCTTTAGCGAAAGATGGTGTAATATTTAACGCGAAGCTCCTGAAGGCATGTGCCGCACGTCTCTTGTATGTAGAAGCCACTTCTCGTTTTAGTCTTTGGAATGTCCGCTGGAAGGTGGTCCCTGTGTATTGATATATGATGAACATATGCGAGATGGTGGTACTTCGAGTGTTCACTGGATGGAAGGACGGATGAACAGACGGACGGACGGACGGAAGGACGGACGCACAGACAGACAGACAGACAGACAGACAGAGAGACACACAGACAGACAGATGGACGCGCGGACTGATAAACAGGCGGACAGACGGACAAATGGACGTGTGGACAGACAGACAGACAGACAGACAGACAGACACACAGACAGACAGACAGACAGACAGACAGACAGACAGACAGACGTATGAATGTATGGACAGACAAATGAACAGACGGAAGAACAGACGGTTAGATGGACGGACACATGGACGAACGCATGGACGGACAAACAGACAAAACAGACAGATAGACTGACTGACAGACGGATTCTGCCAGCGGATGATTCACGGTTTGCCGATAAAACCTTTTGAAGCTTAATCCCACTCACCACCATTCACTCCGTGGATATGCTATGACTTTTTTTTCATGTACCGCATTCATTGAATTGAGCGAAAAGTTAGTAACTTGGTTGAACGTGCACAGATTAGGCTTCGCACCAGTTCGAGCAACACCCGACATTTCGAAGATAATTAAGCCGTGGTGGCAGAACATGGCAATCACTTGCGCTTATCCCATATTATCGTGAGTTGTTGAACTTGATTTCTTTTCGTACCACAAGTGACCTTCGCTGACTGTGACGGCAATTCAGCTGCAGAAGCTGAATCGTGGTCTTCGGATCTAAGGCTCAAAAAAAACAAGATAAATATTCTTGTACGTTACTCAAATCGTTTTCTTATCGCGGTAATTCTCTTCTCCACTTCGAGTGTTAAAAAATAGGCTTTTCGTACATAGTATATATGAAGAAGTCTTTGCATATTGTCTGCTCGAAGTTCAACATTCAGTTTAACGAAGCTTCGGCTGCAGACAAGAAAATTGCAGAATTTACTAACTTCGATATATCGTGGTCTCACTACAATTCAGTTTGGTTACAGTATAACACGTTACTTTAACGAACTACGAAGTAAGTATTTTCATGAATGAACTCTTAGATTCGCAGTTATCATTCTCTAATTTTACATATCACGTGCACCTTCGTATCTTCCTAAAGGTGACCAAAGGCTCGGGAGACATTCAAGCTGGTTTATTCCTGCATTTCAAGTCCGGTTCATGAAGAGTGTTTTTCATTGCTTTTGTACTTCCAGAGTGCCCACATTATTTCTGCCTGAACGGGGGAATATGTGGATGGACGCCAAAAGCACCAAGTCCCACTTGCGACTGCCCCGATGGTTACCATGGCCGTCGCTGCAATTTATTGAGAAGCATCGTACCGGAGGCGAGCAATCTGACGTCAAAAGGTATCGCTTGCTGAATATATCTTTGAAATGCTTGTGCGAAGTGTTCATGTTTAATTTGTGGGAACAGAGTTTATTGTCACAGCAAATGCTTGCCTACTTAGAAGCCATGTGGCAAGAAAATATGCCTTTTTTTTTATTTAGGCGGCCTGCCTACGCCCCGATTGTTAATTCTAATTACATACCAGACCTGGTAAATGCAATGCCCACACAAAGACTTTTATAGCGAAAGCTGTTACGAGATCCGAACACGGGTCACGCACGGCGTCCTAGTTGTCTGCCGTCGCCGCGGGTGTCGGTAACCAGTATCGCAAGAAATATGAGAGAACTCAGTAAATAAAAAAAAGGCTCACAACATCCGCGGCGTTCCAGACCTGTATTACACCACTGAACCACGCCGGTGTTTTTAATTCTTGAAAAAAGTGGCCTTATTTTTTTAGGCAGGCTTCATATCGGGAAAGGAATCATGGTTGTATGACCAGTAAAGCTTTTTAGAACGCCAAAAGAAAATACTAGGCGTATCATAATGCGAATGAAGCAACGAGTGGGTCGCCCGATGCTCAAACCCAGTAGAAAACTTTTCTTAATGACCTATTAACTGTGGTGCATACCCACTTCAGGCTTATAATTCGTTGTCGTCGGTCATTGCATAAAAAAATCGCCAGGCATGTGCAGAATGCGCAGCACAATCACAGCGAAGGGTAGAAGAGCGGCCGTTCAGAGCTTTTTCTAAGCACGCTTTCGGTGACTGATACAAGCACACTTGCTTATTGCCCCTCACGCCATTATTAACCATAACTTTTGTGTAGTAGGCCGCCATTCAAGACCTCGTCCTAACTGCAACGCAAGACTGAAAACTACAGATCACAGACGGCCTCACAGACGGCCACAACGTCAGTGCTCTCGTGGACACAGGCACCGATTACTCCGTCGTCAGTGGGCGCTTAGCTACTGAGATCAAGAAAGTGAAGACTGAGTAGGACGGCGCACGGATGCACATGGCGGGTCTACACCTTGTCACGCCGAAGGAAAAGTGCGCCGCAAGAATCACAATGCGCGACGACACATACCCAACTCTATTTGTCATACTCAAGCACTGTTCCCGAGATATCATACTCAGCATTTATTTTCGGAATGAACACAACACTTTTACACTTAAAATTGCAGTCCATTCCACTGTCCACAGATCAAGTGATAAACCAGGGATGAGTGTCGGTCGCCATTGAGCGTAGTCGAAAAACATGTTAGCCTCATGCCCTTCTCAAACACTCTCGTCTGCGTCAGTGGCGATGCGTCAGAAGAAATAGATGGTATAGTCCAAGGACACGCAGACTTACCGTGGCATTTGTGTCACCAGGCGAATCCCTAATTTTATAAACGGGTGCTCAGAAATGCTGATCCCAAACTTCACTTCAAAGAAAAAAACACCTTAACAAATCGTTCCGCGAACATTTCCCTGAAATCAGCGAATCACGCATGCTGACAGACTCGTCGGCGGAACACGTGGCCGCATACCCGATTGCGGAGCCCATTTTTAATGAACGCTGCCCTGCCCATGCACAGACAAGAACAGCTGAAGAACCTTCTTCGACGATACGGGAACTGCTTTTGGACGACATCCAAAATAGGAAAATTACAATCACTAATCGCCGCAATTTAACAGAAGAAAATGTGCAACATGTTCGCCGAAGCCCTTATCTAGTCTCGTAACGAGAGCAGAGCGCGAGGTTATCAAGAAGCAAGTTCATGATATGTTGCGCGACGTCATCATTGAGCCGTCACAGAGCCCCTGGGCTTCATCAGTTGTGTTAGCCAAAAAGCAACGAACGCTGAGATTCTGCGTCGATTACCGCCGGCTGAACGACGTTACAAAGAAGGATGTCTATCCGCTACCACGTATGAATGATATCCACGCCAAATACTTCATATCTATGGACCTAAACAGCGGCGCTCGACAAATTGAAGTCGATGAATTGGACAGAGAGAAAACTGCCTTCATTACGCTAGATGACCGCTGTGAATTCAAAGCAATGCCCTTTGGACTTTGTACAGCCCCAGCCACATTTGAGAGAGTTATGGACACTGCTTTACGTAGACTGAAGCAACAAACGTGCCTCGTATACTTAGACGAGGTTGTTGTCCTCACTGCCAATTTTGGAGAAAACTGAAGCAGACTGAATACTGTACTCATGGCCAAGAAATCTTCTTGATTGACACTGAAACCAGATGAATGTCCGTTAGCTTACGAAGAATTGCTATTTTTCAGCCACGTCATCAGCAAAGCTGGTGTGAATTTTGATCCACAGCAAACATCAGCCATCGCCGGTTTTCCGCGGCCTTAGGACTAGAAATCAGTCCGCTGCATTCTTGGATTGAGCGCTTATGACAGGCGTACAATTTCAAATTTTAAAAAAAAATTGCTCAACCTCTCACACGTTTAACAAAATCAGAATCAGAAAATGAATATACATGAGGAACTCAGCAAGGTGACGCCTTCGCCGAACTTCAACGCCAACTTCACTCACCACCAGTGCTCGCGCATTTCGATGAAGACGCTGAAACTGACATCCATACCGATGCAAGCAGTGCGGGACTCGGCGCGGTGCTCCTCCAAAGCAAATGTGAACTTAAAAACGTTATTGGCTGCGCTAGCCGATCTCTCATTAAAGCTGATTTCAATTATTCGACAACAGAGAAGCAGCGTCTTGCTATTGTCTGGGAAACTGCCAAATTCCACCCCTACTTATACGGACGGCCTTTCAAGGTTGTCACCGATCACCACACACTCTGTTGGCTTGCAAACCTGGAAGAACCACCACGTCGCCTAGCGCGTTGGTGCAAGTGCTGTGGGGCCGATTGTCGCTTAGGAGCTCCCATCGACGCTGTCCCGCAGGACGCAGATGACGACGCTGTTTTTTTTTTTTTGAGCGATCAGTGACAGTAGTTTTGCAGAACAATAGCGAGGCAATCCTGATATTCATGACCTCTTTCAGTACTTGGAAGGAAAGACAACATCTGTTTCCAAAGCAAACAGCCGTGGGCTATCCTCATTTTGCCTACACAACAATGTTGTGGAGGAAAAGAACTTGTCCTCAAATAGGGTGACGAGCCACAGAAAAAATGACGAGCCAACGGCGGGTCACCTGAGATTTAGCCGCTCGCTTGCAATTCAGAGAAACTACTATTTGCCCGGACCGGCATCCGACACCGCGCAATACGTGAAAACCTGTGGAGACTGGCAAAGACGAAGGAGACTTCCGTTGAAACCTGTTGGACAACTGAAGTCGGTCGAGCTACCATCAAAGCCTTTACAAGAAATCGCAATAGACCTACTGGGCCCATTCCCTACGTCCGCTGATATTACACAAATGATTTGTCGTGGCAACAGATAATTTGACCCGTTTCACCGAAACAAAAAGCCTACTAAAGGGCAGTGCCACAGAAGTCGCGAAATCGTTCGTCGGAAACATCGTCCTGAGAAACGGTGTGCTCAATTGCTTAAAACTAAGAGAGGCACGGCATTGACAGCTTATCTGACACGAGTTATATTTCACTATTGTCACACAAGCCACTGAAAAACGACGGCATATCGCCCTCAGACGAAGGGTCTTACTGAGCGGTTGAACAAAACTATCGCCGACATGCTATCAATCTATCAATGTATGTAGACATCGAGAATAAGTAGGGGGATCACTTGTTACCATACGTAACTTTCGCCAACAACACGGCAGTACAGAAAACAACCTAAATGACGCCACTAAAACTACTTTACGGAAGAGAACCCATGACGACGCTCGATGTCATGCTTCCGAACGTCACCTACGATAAAAACTTAGACGTCTGCACTACCAACAGCTGGCAGAAGATGCTAGACAATTAGCTCGTCTGCGCTATGAAGCACAGCAGCAAGTCCACGCCCGACGCTACAATATTCGCCGAAGCAAGCAGCAATATCAACCTGGTGACCACACATGGGTGTGGACGCCTGTTTGAAAGCGCTGAATCAGTGCAAAACTATTCGGAACATATAAGGTTGTGCAATGCTTAGGTACTCTGTACTACAAAGTTGTACGCAATAACCTTAGCTCATCGCAACTACGCCGCACATGCGCCGAAGTGGTTCATGTCGTCCGTTTGAAACCTTACAATGCACGCTATAGAAGTAACACACTCTTCCATAACATTTTTGTGTTTATAATTTTTTGTGTTCGCATTATTTTGCCCGCAGTTATGTATTAGTTTGCTCTAAACATCGGTACGCTGTCGTTTGAAATGGGGGCAACGCCACATAATAACTTTTAGTTTGTGACCATGAATGGGAAGCAAGAACATCGCAAAAATATAGACAAGGACAGAGGAAGAAACGACACCACGCTGAACTCGCAACTAATCTTAATTTGAAGATACACGCACATATATCAAGCAATCAACCCGGTCACGTAGAAAACCAAAGGCGCCTGCGCATCAAAACAAACAAGGTACGAAACAAGCCTAATCATATTGACCAACAACACGTGTTTAACAACCGAAAAAAACAAAAGGATACCTTCCTACGTGCCGATGATTTCATTTGTGGGGTTTAACGTCTCGAAACCACCATATGATTATGAGAGACGCCGTAGTGGAGGGCTCCGGAAATTTCGACCACCTGGGGTTCTTTAACGTGCACCCAAATCTGAGCACATGGGCCTACAACATTTCCGCCTACGTGCCGAAAAACATACCCAACAGTCTCTAACAAACTAACAGTCAGACGCTCTGCTTTTCCACGTGACCGGGTCGAATGCTTGATATATGTGCGTGTATCTTTCAATAAAGTTTAGTTGCGAGTTCAGTGCGGTGTCGTCTCTTTTTCTGTCCTTTTCTATATTTTTGCGCTGTTTTTACTTCCCAAGTATGAACCACCAACTAGCCCAACTTTCGCTACTATTGTTACCATGAAACTGCACGCTTACCAATTTTGTAAATCGCCTTTACATGCGCCAAAATAGGCGCCTGGTATGATCACGTGAGAAAGATGGTATCGCGTCTCAATCTGTTGTCGTATTGATAAAGGGTGCAAGTTGGCTGACTGTGGGGGCAGAATCAGTGGGTGGGCCTGTGTAGCGGCGAGCCGCGAGTGTGCTTTCGTGTGACACGCCGGCGCGGCAACTGCGTCCTTCGGATGTTACCGACCACCATCTAGAGCCTGAGTTCTTTCAAATAAAGTGGTTGCCCTAAAGTGCCTTCGAGTTCCTGCGGTACAAGTCACATCCCTGCGTGACGATGCGGCATGCTTGTAAATGCACAGTAAACTTCTGCTGGCGTGACTGGCCAGAACAGTACGAATATGAAAACATTTATTTAACCTAATGCGTCTTTACGCTGCCATAGGTGCAATCTTCAAAAAAGTACAAAGGACGTTTAAAGGTGCACTCCTACAAGCAAATTCGAAACCACACCATCTTCGTTTAACAACTCCGAGATCACACCATTATACAGTCTGCTTTGCTGCTTCAGTCAGCTGTGCTTCAGTAATACTTGAAACTCACTACGAATTCATCATAGAAAAAGGTAAATATAAATAGTGCCATTCCAAATCCTCTTTCAACAAATGGTTTTTGCCCGATGTCACATATACATGCATGCAGCATGCGAAGGAGGGGAAAATGTACAGTTATCTAAGCCAAAAACAGCCATTATTCATTCTCCTGAACTAATTATAATAATTTTCGTCTATGATTAGCGTTGATTTTTTTTTACATTTATGGTCATTCGTGCAGCAGGCCACCTCGGTCGTGGCTTGCGGAATTACAAGGACACTGGGAAACGATCAAGCCTTGGGCACCTTATCAATGTAGCCTTTATAAATTATTTACATTACTTTTTGCAGAATCTGGATCTGCTGCTGGAATTGTGACCGGCATAGTTGTTGTTTTGGCCATCGTGCTTGCAGCTGCAGTAGCCGTTTTTGTTGTGAACCGCAAACGACGCGAAGCGCAGTGAGTACATCGTTCCGCATTGCAAAAATTTCATTGTGCTCTGGCTTGTTCGATCATTAGTACTGTTTGTGGAACTAAGGTTTCATAGATAATCGACTTGTAGCATAGTGAATAAATACATATTTTCTTCGTTCAACGCATGTCTGCATGGTTTGCCAGGAGGTGTTCCGTCTGAACTGAAAGGATTTTGAAAGAATGGCGTGAAGACGAGCTTTTCATGCCAGAAAAAGCAACTAGAAAAATACTTCTCACACTATTCTTCTATGTGGCCTGGTTTTATAACTTTATTCCTTTTCGCAGAGAAACTTTTAATGCAGCCTTGCGTCAGTGAGAAAATGGTTATACAGGGCTGAATAACTTCATTCCGGTTATCTTCCTTGAGTAACACTTCCTAAGTAGGTTCACTTACAAACATTGTAGCCCCGCCGCGGTGGTCTAGTAGCTAAGGTACTCGGCTGCTGACCCGCAGGGCGTGGGTTCAAATCCCGGCTGCGGCGGCTGCATTTCCGATGGAGGCGGAAATGTTGTAGGCCCATGTGCTCAGATTTTGGTGCACGTTAAAGAACCCCAGGTGGTCTAAATTTCCGGATCCCTCCTTTACGGCGTCTCTCATAATCATATATATCGTGGTTTTGGGACGTTAAACCCCACATATCAATTACAGACATTGTACTGATTCTAATGCATACATTGTTATTGCTATGTTGATTTCATGCTATGTCTATAACATCCGCTCTAATACAAGAGAGGTGTATGAAACTGCCTCTATGTATAGTACTTACACTTCTGAACATTCCACAAAGTGTAACTGTGCCAACTCAATCATGCAGTGTTTGGTAAAAGTGGCTCAAGCTAGAGTATAGCGTTGTCTGCTAACTAATAAGTTGATAACTATGTCCACAAATTCTGGGCCCTGACATAGTTGAAGAAACTGCCGCCCGACGCAACTACAGCAGCTAACATTGTGCGCGCACTTGCCGCACCAGTACTGAGGCGGACGCATTGAACCATTGAAGCACCCTATTCCTTTAGCCGTCCTACACAGGAACCTGATCAATATGCTCAAAAGCCTTGGCGGCACACCAGGTGTTACGGCTCTGCGCAATACAGTATAGGAAGAAGCGCATGTTGCCTCCGGAAACAATAGGAATAAATCCTATAAAAATAACCAAGAAAGTTACATGAATTTAACTAGACAATCAAGTAGCAAATCACTTGAAAGAGCTCTATTGAGTCTAAAACTAGGAGTCGTTCTTTAATCTGACTTTTGATGCCGAACTTGAAAGAGGATGAAGTGGGTCTATATTGAGACCCCTCTCGCAGGCAGCTCTTGCATTTTTCTCCTTCTTTTTTTTCCCTTCTCTTCCTTTTCACTTTTTTCCTATTTATTACCTTGTTCTTGCAAAAAAAGTTGCCCTTCAAAGGCTGCGACTCTTCGTTCTTTTCTCGCCATTCATGTTTGCGTTCATGTTTTCTACGCATTTTTATGATAATTTACCACTGTTGTCAGCTTAAGATGGATCACACCTCATCAGAGGTCTCTGTAAACAGACCGCGAAGTTTTGATCGAAAGGAGTAAAAACTCGACTATAAGAACCATCTGTACTAGCCATTTACTACACAAGAATGCACATCTGGGCTAGTAGTGATAGTTAACTTTTGAACAGCTTCTAGTGCAAGAAATAACAAGAACACAGACCAAAGATGTGACAACACGAGCGCTCATATCGTCATATTTTTATTTTCCGATAAAAACTGAGCCATTTTCCACCATAAAAAACCCTAAGACTAGCACTGCTAATGCGTAATAAATGCGTAACGATGACGTTATATTTTACACAAAAATATAGCCTTGAGTCTACATGACTCATTGACCTTTTGTTGACGTTCAAAATTGTTGACGTTCAAAAGAATACTATAAATGAAAAGGTAGACACACACGGGGTGCTACCATTTCCGTCGGCCGTCTTCTTGGAGCCGTAGATTTCTAATCTAGCAATACCGACACGTCCACTTGTTCGCGCTCACTTTGTCGACATATTGTGCTAAATCAGTATTTGTCCCTCTCCGCAGGAACCCACCGCTCTTCATCGACAATCCTTCATACGAAGAATCAACAAGCTAAACAGGTATGAATATTACGAGGGACATCGTGCTTGCCCTGAAGTTATGCTCTTAAAGCTATTCGTAGAAGGGTTGATTCATGAGTGCTACACACCTACATTTTGAATAGCTTGATGTTGCTATATTTAGCCTGATATTGAAGGCCTTCGTGTACACTTTGGGCACTGTTAGATAAAGTACATCCAACTGAAAATTATTGTGATGATTCGTTCAGAAATTAGCAACATCTGCTACTGCACTGGCTCTGTTCGGGAATAAAGAAATTCGGCAGCAAGCTGATAAGGTGCAAAAGTAACAGTCGAACAAACTCAGTCCTACTTTTCTTCACCAAACTGAAGTGGCGCTTTCACTTCTGCTGGCTGTGGCAATAAAACTTTCGGCTTGAGCGTCTAACAGCAGAAAAGTATTATTGATTTGTGCTAAAATAACTGTCGGTAACGATGACACTAAACGAGTAAAAACCAAATTTTGCTGCGGCATAGGCTGACTATAGAGCTCTTTGAGAGCCTGCTAGCTTGTTAACAGTGCAGCCTAAGCTTTGGCTCATTATGCACCCCAGCAGATATACCAGTATGAATAACGTAACCTTTCTGTTCTATACTCTTGCTTTCTAGGGTCTTTCAACTGGCGGACCTCATTCCCAGATAGGCTCAGAGGAAGAGGACCACCTGCAAAAGCAAAACGTCAACGACTGCTATTTTATTTATATAGCTTGGAACTTTGTATCTCAACTTATTCAGAAGCAGGAAAAAAAATGAACGAACTGGTGATTTTTAGGGCTCGAGGTACGTTATTTAACGTGTTTACTCGAAAGGAAGCTGCTATTGCAGGCCAAACTGCCATGCAGTTAATACAACAATGCTGGTTGAGCTTGTGTATTATACGAACAAACAACGTCAAGAAAGAATAAATATGTGGTACAATGTTTCTTACTGTCTGGGCACCGATCATTTGCCTTCATAACCGTTAGTCTTACCAAGATCCAGGTTTACACTCAAGTAGTGGTAAGGTTGTTATCAAACAGCAAGCGGTCGGATACCTTACAGCCTTTGCCCAGCGAGTTAACGAATAAATCACGCGTCGGCGCCAAGAATGTCAGGTAGCGACCACTTTCTGGCCTAAACCGGTTTTCCCCGTGCCTTCTGTTTTCGAGGCTCTCTTCCCGCCGCATGCGTGTTGCTTCTTCTTCGCCGGTCTCACTTGGGGATCTGCTTGTGCGTGAGCCCGCTTTCCTTCAGCTGCACCAGCCGTTGCCAGTGCCGCAGCCTCCGCGTGGCAAAATATGGCATGAAGGCCTACAGAGGCAGCGCCAATGCTGCTAAGAAGGGCGTAGTATTCCCTATCCCATGGCACTGATAGCCTTGCTGAGTAGGTGGTTGTGACAAGTGTGTGGATGGAAAAGATAAGACAGTAAACCATTTCGAGGCGTTTGGACGATACCGAGCAAGTCAAATAGGACAAACAGGCATATATGATGAGCAGCGCGATTGAGTACCGTGTGGCGCCTTCATTTGGGTCTGTTGAATCGTGGTGTCATAAGTGTTGTTCTGTTGTGTCATTATCAATAATATGTGAGGTTACACGGCTCAAAACCGCGACATGATTATACTGAAGACGCCGTAGTGGAGGGCTCCAGAACTGTCGTCCTTCTAGCGTTCTGTATCGTGCACTGAAATCACACATTTCGTGGGCCACTGCAGCTTTTTAGCCTTCTAACAACGGTATACCTAGATCTGTCAAGTTAGGAGTGGTTTTATTTGAACGTCGACCAGTGGGATGGCGTATTTTGTTAGCAGTTATTTCTTCGGATGAGAGGCACTACTGAGTGGCTCAAGGATTTTTTAGTGTGGTATTCATAAAAAAAATGACAGTATATCAAAGAGGTGAATGGTGGAGAGTGAAGCGAAGCATCCCTCCGTCCATTCTTTCTTGCTTCCGTCCGTCCTTGCGTCTGTCTGTGTGACCATCCATGCATCCATCCGCCCGTCCGTGCGTGTCTCTGTTTGTGCGCCCACACGCCCATTCGTGCGTCCATCCCTGCGTTCCTCCATGCATCCACCCCTGCGTCCGTCCATGCGTCCATCCGTCTGTCCATGCGTCCATCCGTGCGTCCGTCCATGCATCTGTCTGTGTCTCCGTTCGTCCATTTAGTCAACAATCCAAGTACCACCATCTCGCATCTTTTTATCATATATTCCGCATATAGAAGCACCGCCATCCAGCGGACATTTCAAGGACTAAACGAGAGGTGGCACGTGCACGCTTTCTTACGGCTTGCGCTTCGTGTCTACTTCCCACCTTTAACCACCTCGAGTTCATGGTATATACTAGTTCACGGTATTCATGGCACTGCGGCCCAACGCTCGCTAAACCTTTCTAAAACCAAGGATGTTACGCCCAGCGAGTAAAATCTAGCAACCCTTCTTGTCAGATAGTCCTAAATGTTCATGCTGCTAATGGCTGCTAATGGGGAATGAGAGACAGGAGAATTCGGCTTTTAGTTAACGCGCACGCTGCAAATTTTTTTATTGTTCGACAAAGCACAGGAGAATCTCCCACCAGCACCACCTAGCAGGTCAAAGTGTAAGATATGTTACGCACTACTACGAGGGACGAACGGTGCCGCTATAAGCATAGAGAAATAAACAAAAAAGGTTAAGAGTGGACACTCCCATAGACCTCAGCGGCCCAATCGACCCTAGCACACCTGGTGGTTGGTGAGAGCAAGTGGCGTGCGCTTCCTGTTTCTGTTTCACTGGCGCAAATTTTGAATTACTTTGCATAACCGACGTTTGGCTATGACGAAAGTTCACGATTTCAGACCACTTTCCATCGCCCAAATGGATAGTTTTTGTAGGTCGTTTTGATTTAGCGATTCCCTGTTTTGTTTTGTTCAGTGGTTCGTGCGAATTGGTCGTGACGTGATTTTTATTTTGATTAAGTTATAATAAAACGAGATGCAGGTAATGACAATTCACTACGGTTTTATTCATCGCGCTTGTGTTTTTCTTTTGGAACAAGTAATCAATGTACATATCAGTCAAAGAGACAGAGTATCCGCAATGTTTTATTCAAAGGCAAGGTAGAGCCTGAGAATATAAAAAGCACAATATGACAGAGGTAGACAACAAATGCATCTCGCCTTACAAATAAATTGTAACAAATACAGAGAACACAGACAACGCACACATCGCTAGAGTTGGCAGAAGCCGAGAAGCTGGTGAAGTATGACACACCGGGCTGGTGGGTAAGTAAGGATCTATGGCAAAAACACAGCGCACAATGCTGATGAAGAAGGAAGAAGTGACATATACACAGCAATGAAGTCGCGAATCACGCCTGGGGTTAACCGAAATAATGCATAGAAAAAACGGGCGCACAGAAACCACACGACACAATATAGCAGAAAGGCAAAGGTGCAGTGTGCTGGCTGGGCTTAAGAACAGCTAGTCCAAAATGAAAAAAAAGCAGACTTGATGCCTGCTTGTCCTCGGAAAGGTAGGGCTTTGCAGCTTGCTCACTACGTGAAAGACAAACTTTATGCTACAACACTGGCAGGTCTTGTAGCGCTTCTTATGTGTCACCTTCATCAAAAACTTAAGATCCCAAGCGATTTGCGTCTGGGTGTTGCTGTGACGCTTGCGAGCTAAAATAGATTGTAGTCATCACTTATCCAAATTGTGGACCTTAATTGGTGCTACGAGAGCGGTATTACAGGGCTAATAAATAGCAGAAGGAAACCGCTTTGGCTCATTATTTTTCACAAAGACCCTACATCGTACGCTATCACTCACAAGCTATATAAAAATAAAATGGCAGCGTCCGCAGCCCCATCAAACTCTACAAGTTTGGGTATTCTTTTGAAAATTTTGATGGGCGAGATGAGGAGGTTGATGAGAAGCTAAAATACAAAAAGCGTGATAACGTGAACCGTGCCCACTTCATACTGTGTTCCTTACCCGCTCGAAGACATTTCAACAAGCGGTTTCGTTATCGATATATTACTTGAGCTGGAGAGATAAAGCATACACAGTGACTAAGCGACCCACAGTAAAGTGTACAGTTAGCCCGAATTTGCTACAAAAATACAGACAGGATACCCAACATTCTTTTTAAGGTTATGCAAATCACTTCGAGCGAATACACAGTGTCCCTACTCCTCATAGCGGGTAACCAAAACAATGTATGCAACGAAGGAGTGATTAGTCCAGTTGAACTGAATATAAGCATATAAGACCATAAAAAAGTCTGCTGTAATGAAGTAATAACATAACAAAGCTATTGCAGGATTCGGCTCAACTTGAATACTTTAGTGTAAACCCGCCGCTAATTGCTAACCTTTGAACTTGTCAAGCTGTATGCCTGAGATTGAAAACTGGAACCTAACCCTATCTAAATTTCGGTTCACAAAACGCACATGCCAACATAAACGAACCCGGCAAAACATTTTCAGAAACCTCGCGCGACACCCAGCAGAGCAGAAATGAAAATCGCCAACACTTGACAGATGGTGATACAAAACATCGCACACTTTCAGGTGATGTGCAGTGGCCTCAATCATGGCCAGAAAGTGAGATTCAAGTTGTTGTACGTATGCAAAAGCTGCTTCTGATGGCACAGTGAGATTCCCAAAAAGTTTGCTGGGGACGTGGTATGCTTTGAGCATTGTGAAATACTGGTGGGTCCGCTGTGCTGCTACTTTGGCTTGCAGATGTTTAATGGTTTGCTTGTACTTCATTGATGGAGACATTGTCGCTGACACACAGGAACGCACTGCAATAAACAAAAAATGGATGTAAAAGCGAAGAACAACTAATCCCATACGAGCACTTTCCTCGCTCTTTCAGACCCAAGGTGCACAACTTTCTGTGGTGCAAAGTTTTCGATTCCACTACCTAAAAACAAACCATTCACAATGTTGACAATGCACAAAAAAAATGAAAATCACTGAGAGCCCACCCTTACATTTTGTAAGTGCACACGTAGTGTCCTTTTGAGGATAGTTTCCTCAGAATGTCCTAAACATAAAATAGCACATTAAAAACAGCTGCCATAAAAGCATAGTCACCATTTTCTTTAGGGCACTCAGCCGTGGAGCTGTTGGCGAAGACATCTTCTGGGGGGTCTTGTGAAGCTTGTTCAGTGCCTCGGACAGTGCTGTCGGAACAATCTTGCGAGCCGCCTGCGGAAGTCTCTATATCAATCCACTCTGGTGTTGAAGTGAACATACAACTTACCAGTCACACAAGTTCATTTTGTGACAGCTGAACAACTGGTTAAGGTTTTCTCCGGCAAAATGAAGTCAGCAGAAATTCTTTCCCCAGCTACAAGGGAGCTGCCACCTGCAGAGGTTTGGTCAACAGTCAATTTGGGTAAAAAAAAGAAATCGCGACACTGAACGCACCCTGCTCATCGGGGCACCTCAATGTGTGGGAGCCGCTTTTTGAAGCCTCTACCGCAGGTCTTGAAGAAATGAAATTACGACAATGTGTCAGTAAGAGGCTTAAAATAATACAAACTGAAGCTCATCCGCACCCTGCAGTGCAGCTTCTGCAGTCATGTCACAGTCACTATTTGAAGCGACGCTCAGAGAACGTGCATATATGTGCAGTTGGTACAAGTTACAAAGCTTGTAGCATGGGGAAACTTAAACAGCTCTTTCAAACGCATAAATTGGTCAGACGTGGAAGAAAAGAGAAGGCACCAACTAGGAAACAAGTAATTTGTGATTTTTGAAATTATCAACAGTGCCATCTTTCACCGATGAAAGGTATATGTACATGTGCACTCAGGCTTGAAAATAACGTGAAATAGCCCTTTAAAGTCTTTCAAAACAAGTTGTGCAGGTCAAAAGCATCAAAAAACGACAGAAATGTAAAGCTGCTGTTAGGAAGGTAACAGCCCACAATTCACAAAATTTAAGACTTT